GTTCAGCGAGTGTTTCCGAATCTGGCCTTCATTTACATCTCTCTTATTTTAGGCTTCAGATTCGCCATTTGACAGTTTCTGTCTTCTTGGCAATTGGTCTGTTGAGCCTCTCCCTTCCTGGATCCTCTAGCAATCTCTCTTTTCTTGGAAATACAACATTTCATTGAGGCTTTCTGGTAACGCTGCAGCATTGAGCGGTAGACTCCCTTCTTCTGTCTTTATTCATCTGTTCAGCTCATCTGCACGGAGCAGCGACCTGCCCAGCATCCTGGAGGGCCCCGGCGGAGGTCAGTGCAGTGAAAAGCCCTCCTTTTACAGAGACTGCAGAGAGTAAAACCTCAGGTTCGAGCTGCAAGTGTGTTGGTGGTGTGTTAAGCTTCTCCAGGGACGGCATCCGTAGGAAGAATGCGTTTAGGGGGTTTTCAGGTAGTTCGCAGGGTCACAGGGCAGAACGGTTCACAGTGGCACCAAAGGATTCAGTAGCCACTCAGCCAGGAAGATGGAAGTCCTGGAACAAGAGATAAAGGAGGCGAAGGATGCCAAAGGCCCTGAAGTTCCCTGGAAGGTCACAGATGCAAGTCTGCAAGGAAAGGCTGAAGAAACAGAGTAATGTCCAAAGGCAGTGGCAGCAAAGGGCACATCCGCTCTTGCTGCTTCCTTCTCCTCTTCCTGTTCCATCCGGGCGCCATCCCCAGCAGGGCAGGTCTTCCCCACTTTGTTGGCCTACATGCCAGCCATCCACACAGACCCCCAGAGCTGTGCTTTCGCTGATCTGCTGCATGCTGCTTACTCTGGCTAAATCGAGGCATCACGATTAATGGTCACAGGGGGTGCTGGTGGCACAGGGAGAACCGAAGGAGGTACAGTCTGTGTTCAACGAGAGAGAGATCCACTGCAAGGAAGCGGCTCGTACAGTTACAGATGCTGGGAAGTCCCACGATCTGTGGCGCCCACTGGAGACAGGAGAACCCAGGTTACCATTTAGTCAAGGGCCGGGCAGCCAGGGGAGGTGAAAGGTGAGTGCCTGTCCAAGCCCCACTCAAAGACAGTGCACGGAGCGCAAGCAGAGTCTCCTTTCCTCAGATTATTTGTCCCACCCAGACTTCCAGTGGGTTGGACTTGGACCAGGCTGTCCACAGTGGCCATCAGCTGATACCAAGCTCACCCCAAACGTTTCACCCGGTATCCGGGCATCCCCGGCCCCATGAGGTTGACCCTCGCAGCTGCAGTGGAGCAAGTGAAGGGGTCAGGAGTTTGGGACCCCAGAGAGAAGGTGGGGGTAGGGCTGCGGGTCGGCCATGCGTAGGTGGGAAGGGTGGACGGGGTGAAGAATCCTGGCCGGGACCAGGGAGGCTCAGACGCACACAGTCCACGGAGACGTTTCTGAAGGGCTCATGGGGTTTGCAAATGGGCGGATTGGAGATTGGCTGTGAGAGAAAGAGAGGGACCAGAGGTATTTACTGAGGTCAGGAAAACTGTGGCAAGGCTGGTATGAGGAGGAGGAGGAGTGGAATTCTGTTATGGGGCATATCAGGTTTAAGAGGGCTGTGATACGCAGCTGATGCCAAGTAGGATGATTTGACTATAAATGGGGTGGTCGAGAGGTGACAGTTTGAGGCTGGAGATCCACGAGCACAACGCCGGGGTCTGGTCCTGGAGAGGAGATGGGGCGTCAGGAGTGAGGGGCAGGACCCAGGCAGGAGGCCAGAGATGTGGGAGGGGAACCGGGACGGGCCTGGACGTCCTGGAAGCGGGAGGAGTGGCCACTTGAGTCCGTGCTGCTGGGGACGAGTGGCAGTAGGACCTAGAATTAACCCCGGAAGTTAGCAACACGGAGGTCTTCGCGGACCTCGAGGCGGCCACGTTCTCTAGAGCAGGGTTACAAGATCGTGGAGAAACAAAGCTGGAGAGCAGAATAGGGATAATTCTGCCTCCTCTTTTTGTATCTTAAATCTTCTGCTTTATTAAAACCTCCCACAGCGAACGCGTCTCATTGTTTTGAAAGAGCCAGTATTGGGATTTATTCACCTCTCCCTTTGCCTTTTCTTTCCCTCTCGGTTTTGGTTTTTAGCTTTTCTGCGCCTCCCTCGGGTTGGTCTTTCTGACTGCTTGAGCTGGACAATTATCTCCTGCTTTCTCATTTGTTAATAAGACGAGTATTTGGGGCTATGACTTTTCCCTTGACCATTGCCCTGGCTACCTCATGTGAGCTCTGAAATGTTCTTTTTTACTTATAAAAGTTTTAATAAAATTCTTGTCGTAAAATTTTTCATTTTTGTTATTGTCTAGATAGTTTATAATTTTTAGTTTTGGTTCCGTTAATGAATAAGACATCCACAGTCCTTTTAAAGAGTCATAAACACCCTGAAGTAGAGTTTGGCTTGTTTTGTGGTTTGGTGGTTTGTGTTTTCAAGCCTTATTATACTGTGATCAGGAAATGTTGGCTTATTTCTACTTTTTTGCTTTTTAGGCCTGAGAGTCAGTTTTTTTGCGTGTGTGTGTTTATGTACCAGAACCCTGGAATAAAAAGTAGGTTCTGTTTAACACACAGTCATAATTAGACTTCGCTCCTTTATATTCTTACATTTCAGTCACTTTGTCAGTAACGGCCTGGGAAGGGTGACTTAATTGCAGTAATGCTAGGATACTCTGTCTTTGTTGTCCTCAATTCCCAGCAGTCTGGGCTCTGTGAGTACTGAAACTCCCCACCCATGACCTAAGACGTCCTCACTGTTCGATCTTCCCAGGCGCTTTCATCCTTGACGCTCACACAGTGACCTTCTTTTTTCATCCACTGACCCTTGTCTGCTATGCATACCATTGCCCCCAGTTTCTATTTGTACTTTACATTTCTTTTTAAATGGGGCAAAATGCACATAACATAAAGTTTGCCATGTGCCGGGTGCACTGGCATTAAGGATAAATTTTTCTGAGTCACCCCACCTTCAGTGTTTTTCGTTTGTGATCTGTGTTTTTTTAGCAAGTGTGTGTGGTTCATTAACGTTTACTGACATGGCAGATACACTCAGTCTTATTTCTGTCCTCATAGTTTATGATATGTTTCTGCTTTTATAGCTTTCGTGGGGGTTGTCAGTTTTCACCATATGGCCTCTGTTTTCTTTGTTTTATTTTTTGTGTATATATCTTCTGATAATTTGGAGAGCTGAGTTTTGATCCCATGGTTACCTTCACGATCATAATGTGATATGATACACTTTATCCTTTCTTTCAACAGTGCTTATTTTTTCCCTACTATGAACAGTGTCAAAATTCAAGTGTTCACTGCCTCCCCATTCCTTTCCACCAGGTTACTTTAGCTGATTATATTATTTTTCTGTTGACTTTTGTATCTCTAGTTGTACTTCAACTTCTGAACAATTATTTAGAACCCCAGCTAAAATGAATGAGGCATCATTACATCACCTCCCTCCACACCTCCTACTATTAGTATTTATACCAGACCTCTGTTGCCTCTTTCACTCTTTTCCATAATAGTCCTAATCTCCAGATTCTGTGCTTGCTGCCAGAACTCTTGCCTGAGTTATTCCATGTACCCTTTGGCTTGCTGGGTAACATATTTAAGAAGGGCTTATGGAAACACTAATTAAAATATATATTCAGCAGGTTTCCCTACTGGCTTTGTACCTCAGAAATGCTTTGCATGGGCCTAAGTTCTTGGCTCATTTGTTAATTTTTCAAGAATTATTTATTAAGTTTCTACTGTGTAGCAGTTACTTTCTAGTCCCAGACAATATAGCAAGACCCACAATGACCTTGGCCCTCTTATAGCCCAGCAGATGTCCACTTCAAAGGTATTGGCTGTGCTGGGTCATGTGACTACTCTTGAAGCCCTATAGACTTCCACTTCCACACCATTGGCTGCATTTGGTCACGTGACCACCCTGCCAGCCCTGTAGATTTCCACTTCCACAACACTGGTTGTGCCAGGTCATGTGACCACCCTTGTCTGCAAAGGAATCTGAGAAGGTTAGTGTTCATGCCTGGGCTGTTGTTCCTGTGGTAGGTATGAGCTAGGGGGTGCATAGTGCCTGCACAAGTGGAGCTAATGCTTCTGTTCCTCATTGTCTTGTTTGCAACTTGACTTTACCAGTCGAAGCTTTAAGGATTCCCACAGGCCTGTTGCTACATCCTGCCTCTGCCCACTCCTATTCAAAGAGCACACTGGTGTCCTCTCCATGCCTCTGTATGGTGCTGCCCTAGCTAGTGGTGTGATTCCAAGATACATAATGGATTTTGTTGTTCTCACAAATGATATCTGCGTCTCTTTTAAACAATTTTTAGTTTGTTATGACAGGGATGAACATATAATTTATCATCCAAATGCAAATACACTTGAGGGAGAAAGGGGAACAGTATTAAAAACTGTGTCAAACAACGGGTGTCAGTTGGGACTGTCCCAAGTCTTGCAATTCAGGTGGACACTGCTGAGTTTTATAAGTTGATCCGATGTCCTACAGATTGGAAATTACGCTGGTACCTCGGTTCACGAACGTGATTCTTTTCACAGTTCTGGTTGCAAACCAAGTTGAACGAGAACCGAAACAAATTCAGTGGTTAGGTTCACTACTGACATTATGGGTTGATTCAGTTCTCATCCAGTTTGGTTTGCAACCAGAATGGTGGGGAGACAGAACAAGCCCCACTGTATGTTTATGTCTGCACTCTGTTCTAATAATTGGTCCATTGCTTCTGTTAGAATTTTTCTATATTGATTATTTCAATTAATTATGATGCTGGTTCTTCTGTTCCAGTCTTGACTCTGCTTTTGTTTTGTCTTATCATTTGAGCTGGGGCCTCTAGTGCTCTCCAGAACCAAAGAGACTGCAGACTTCTTATAGTCACATGGTCCACAGTGCCCAGAGGGCAGAGGGCAGAGGGCACACACTCAGAAAAAACCTGGCCTCCCCTGGCCCTGGAGAAGTAGCGAGTGCCCTTGCGGGGGAAACCACGTGACATTTTGTTCCCTTCTGTTTGCCCAGAAGACCCCTTTGCCGTGCCTCAGGATGGGGGAGGCCAGATGGGAAGCACCCAGTGCGGCCTCCGAGGACGGCTTCCGCAGAGACACCAGGGAGAGCCGAAGTGATGTCGGTGGTGGTGGTGGCAGCGGCAGAGGAGGAAACGCCACCTGTGCCCAGGACCCTCTTCCATGGACTTCTAAGATTCAAAGTAAACTCAGGGGTGGGAACTGGGGGTGCCAGGAGGTTCTGAGCCTCCTGTCTGCAAGCAATAGTTCTCTTTGGGGCTGGTGGCTTCTGAGAGGTTACTCGTGGACTCAGATGACCAATGCAAAGCTGTCCTGGCTGTTTCCAGCCGGAGGGGTCTAGGCCTGAGTCCCACCCGTGGTCCAAACCCTGAAGCTTACCCTGCCCTGCTCCTTCCAATAGTGCCCCGAGGGCCTCTCTGCCCGAGGATGGAGTGTGAGTGCCTGTGTGTGTGTGTGTGTGTGTGTGTGCGTGCGCGCGTGACCTGAGGTGTCCTTTTGCTTGGTGGTTTTTGTTAGGTTTCTCCCACAAGTTCTCTGATGGGCACAGGTCACCACTTGGCTGGGGGTTGCTGCCAGTGTCCTTTCTTGTTGCATCCAGCAGCCATGAGCCAGATGGAGGTGGTTGGGTACGGGGCCCAAGGTACTGCCCTGCTGTGGCTCAGGTGGCCCTGGGGACTTCAAAACACCAGAAAGAGTTGTTTCGTATGGAACTTCTTCTGTGACAGTGATAACATGGGACATTTCTCGGCCAGCCACCAGGCGAGGTGATTTATGCACACTCTGTCACAGCCCCTGAGAAATGGATATGACTGACTCCCTCAGAAGCAGCTCAGAGTGGGGCCAGGTGGCCAGGTCCTGTGGCCAGGGAGGCCACCCTTGGTTTGGCTTCAGAAGCCAAGATCTGGCTAGGGAGACCCCAGCCTCTCCATTTGGCCTCAGAAGGGCAGTACCCAAAGTCCAGGCCACAAATCCCCAGATACAAGTGGCTCTGCAGCCTGGGGCCTCTCCAGAACCTTCCCAGCAGGGAACTGTCACCCCAAATTCCTCAGCAGCACACTAGGGTCTGTCCATCCACCCACACATGCTAGCTGATTAGCACTGTGTGCCGGGCAGGGACAGGGACGAGAGGTCCGCGTGGGATCTTTGCAGACAGGATGACCAGGCCCCGGGCAACCCAGAGCAGAAGGTTTGAGAGTTCCACCCACTGCAGACGGGGGCTTCCACACAGACCTGGATGCCTGTGCCATCTGCCCGCAGATCACCACCACCGCACCCCCACAGGACACGCACACACAGGAGGATCACACAGGTCCCCAAAGCCACACTGCCAGTGTAGACATGCTCATTGCACCAGTGTTAGCGACACCAGAATCCCGGCTCTTAGCCCGGTATCCCCCCGACCTGTGTTGTCACAGAGCTGTCCCCAGGATCCCCAAAGAGTGGCCATCTGCACTTCCAGTGGACAGGAAGTGTGGAGTGGACAAGTGTTTAGGGTGAGGACAGCTGTCACTCATGGGGAGCCTTGCTGAGGCTTCAGTCTGGTCACCTGCGAGCCAGCCCTTGTGGCACTCAGGTGGCCTGGAATTTTTAGGCCCAGCCTGATGGTCCCACATTATGGTACACACAGAGTACTGAGGCTTTGCTTGGGGTCTAGATCAGGGATAGGCGTGGCATCCTTTCCCCTCGATGCTAAGCGCACCCACGTGGGCCAGTGATGTCCTTGGAGGTTAACAGACCAGTCAGCCCATCTTGTTCAGCTCACACCTTCATCCCCTCTGGGGAGCCTCCAGAGTCAGAGGAAGCCAGAGGCAGGGATGAGGGACCCAAGATCCAGATTCTGGCATCAGCTCTGCTGCTAAAAGCAGTGTGACCTCGGGCACGTCCTGTGCCCTTGCTGCCTCAGTTTCCTCATCAGTGAAAGGAGTCAGGCCAGGGGCTTAGAGGCCTCTGGCTTCCCACATTCCTGGGCGGTACTCAAAGGGTTGCTTCCTCTGCCCTGCGGGTGCTGTGGTGAGAGGTCAGAGGCCACTGTCCCCACAAAGTAAGGCCCTCAGGATTTGTGACCTTTTCAAAGGGTGTTCCCAGCCACTGGGGATCTTGAGAGTCACTGAAAGGCCCCAGGGCCATAGCACCTACCGTCTAACCCCAGTGTGTGTAGCGGAGGGGACCTCCCTGCTCCTTCCCCGATGGGCGCCTTGGCCGGTGGCCTGACCTCTCTGTGCCTCCTGGGCTTGCCTGCTGAGTGCAGCACCTCGGAGTTGCCCGGGGCCGGAAGGACAAAGCCCATCCCCATCCCGCTGTGGCAGGGGACATGCCAGTTGGTAGCGTGTCCCTAGGAGTCAGATACAGGGTAGAGACCCAGAGCTCCAGGGTAGATCCCGAGAGTGAGGGCTTTTCAGTGATGACCACGCCTGATTTTTCAGCCTCCTACTTTTACTTTCTCCTGTCTGCTCCGTCCTCACCCATAACTTATCATCTTCAATAATAAGAATCACAACATTCCCAAGAAGAAGAGTAAGGAGACAGCAGTGCACCCATGGCCGTATACCGCACAGTGTCTCGGTAGCGGGTTGTGTCTGTGTGACCCCTTCCCCACGGGAACCCGTGTCCACTTTCCTCCCGTCTGCCTGTACCATGGTCACCGTGTCTTTCAGAATTCCAGAACCCAGGCTGCGGACCCCCCAGACAGGAAGCCTGCTCACATGACTGACTCACCCGTGTGCGGCCAGCCTCGGTGAGGCCACGCTTGCACACGCACACATGCGTAAACACACACACAGGCCCCCGTGTGACTGCAGGCAGACCTGGTCCCCTCGGGTCCTCAGCGCTTTTGAAAGCAGCAGGGAGATAGCCCGTGGCCCCTCACCAGTATCAGGAAACCCCTGGAGCAGGTTCCACCCTGTAAGGACTTGGGCAGGAACGGGGCACGGTCTTCTTCAACTCCAGGCTCAGTCAGAAGTCCTCTCCGGTCATTTCAAACAGCGGGCTATGGTGTGGCCACACCCTGGTGGCCCCTCAGTCCTCTGTCCCTGCACGGCCAAGTCCCCATCACGGGACCACTGAAGGCTGTGCCCCAGGAGAGGGCAGGCACCCTGCGCAGGAGGCTCTGAGACAGTTTTCACTGGTGTGTTCTCTCGCCGGAGCTCACCGGTCCCCACCAACAGAAGAGCCTTTGGGAGTGGATTTAAGACCCCCGGTCGGGACTGAAGGACAGGATGGAGGCATCCACTTGACCCCTCCCCCTCTGCTGTGAGAATCTGGGATCGAAAGAGCAGAGGGAACCTCAGGGGGTTCGGTCCACTTGTCTGCCCGGTCCCCGTGGGCTACCTGAGAGATCAGAGGACCATAGGCAGGGGATCTCTCCAGGCTGGGGCCGTGCCCTATGCCCTCCCAAAACCAGACCTGCACACGAAGAAGCAGCCCTCACCTATCCCATCTTTAAAAGTGACCTTGAAGGTGTCATTGCCCTCCCCCGCTTCCCCTGTTTCCAGTCCAGGAACCAGAGTTGGTGCTAGATAGATGCTTGGTGAGGGAGCAGATTTGACCATCCATCACTCTGTAGCCAAAACTCCTATTTTTACATCAAGGCCCCGACCCCTTTGCCCTTGACAAACTGAAGTTCAGGGCTGCTGAGATGCCACTCAGAAGGGGCGCCATTCACAGTGCTGACAGAACAAGACGCCTGGAACCCTGCAGAATTGCCGTGAACCTTCCAACAGAACGGGCAGAGTGCTCCTGCAGCAGCGCGGACCTGGTGCCTGGGCTCTGTAGTCACAGTCACACGGCCACCCAGGCCCCCGCTAGTGGCCCACAAGGGTCCCTTCTTAGAACGTGCCTCAGTTTCTCTCCACATCTCTTCCTTCCCCGTTTTCCATGTTAAAGCCAGCGGGTTGAGTCGCGGCCACATCCCCTGCCGGTGAGCGCCTGGGTAGCCTGAAATAAGTACGCAGGGACACAGGATGCAGGCTCGGTCACTCAGTCACCTCCATGGGGCGGGAGACCTTCCCCCCAAAAGGTCAGGGTCCTCTCCGGGGCCAGCTGGGCGAGGGCACGCAGGTCTGGGGAACAGGGATGCCCCCTCTCTCCGGGAACCCCAACTTCAGGTGGCAGGATGGGGTCTCTGATGGCTGATAACTGGGAAAACCAAAAAACCAATACTGTTCCTTCTAATATTCCCCCCGTGACAATGATGTGTTTTACACTGACTGCTGTTACGCTGCTTTTGTCTTTATATACAGTAGTTTTTATAAAGATGTCCTTAGGTTTTAATAAAGGAGTGTCACACCCACCGAGCTTTGATGGACGAGTCGCACCCTGGGGCGGGCCCTGTGGCTGCATGGTTTTGTCACTCCGCTGGGCAGGGCAGAGGCGCAGGGCCTGTGGTCTCTGCCAAGGCTGGGTTGGTAGAAGGTGGTCACATTCATCCACCCCAAGGACCTCAGGGGGCTGGAGGGAGGGACGGAGCCCATGACACCCACGCCCGCCGGGGACAGCCGCACTCCCTGCGCCAGGGCCCTCTTATTCTCCCGCTTAATCCATGGGCAGGCTGGCGGGGGTGCTACGGTTGGACACTGCCCCCCAGGTTCATGGTTTACAAATGTAACCCACAAAGTGGTGGGGCCTTGGGAGGTGACAGGGATTCGTGAGGTCACCAGCTGCTGGCATGAGTGACTTCACAGGAAGAAAATGAGGGACACAGGCTGGCACTCTGCTGTCTTGCTGTGTGACACCCTGCTGGCCACGGCAGGAAGGTCCAATACGCAGGACCAGGTCCCGATCCCTTCGCATTTCGGGCTCAAGAGCTGTGTGCAGCAACCCCCGCCTAGTCCTGAGAAACTTCAGTCCCAGCTGTGGTGGTCTCGTGAGGGACCGGTCCTTCCAGCAGCCCCTCTCCCTGACCACGGCTTCGGGCCCGGCACAGAGAAAGAGCAGGGAAGGGGTAGGGACAAGAGGAGCCATGTGACTGCCTCTCCAGCTACCGCAGGCACTTTGTTGGGGTGCAGTGAGGACCCCTGGGGGGGGCTCTGGGCCTTCTCATGCTCTGCATGTCGCATACACGTGCATCCCCTTCCCCCTGGGCCCCAGGAAGTGGACAGAATCGTACACCCCTGAAAAGCCGCTGCCCTCCCCCACGGTGTCCCTTACCTTGGGCAGGAGGAGTAAGGACATGGGGACGGTCCTCACTCGGCTTCTGGAGCCTGGTCCCTGGCTGGGTGACGGGGACTTGGCTGTATGGGTGACGAGAAACAGAGCAGGCTTGGGCGGAGAGCGAGGGGCAAGGGACCTGCCCTCCAGGATGGCAGGCTTTGGGTCTGGGCAGGCTGCAGGACCTGGCTCCTGGTGGCCGTGAGGAATTGACATATGAGACACAGTACTGTCCTTCATAGAGAACTCCATGTGGCTTCTCACTCTCCCGTGCTCTAACTTGTGCCCCATAGAAGTAGGGGCGCCCCAGCCCTCGAAGCTCTGTCCCACTTCCTCTGGGGATCTAGAAGCCCCCAATTCCTGAGCCATCCTCAGTTCCCAGCATGCCCTGGCAAGTGACAGCAGCAAATGCCTCCTTCTTCAGGGAGGCCCGGTCACCCAGACCTCAAGGTGTCTCCCCCATGGGTTCAGCACACTCTGTCTGCACACACCTGAAGAAAGCCGGCAGCCAGGCATCAGTGACCAAGGAGCAGCAGGAGTCGGGGCTGCGGTGGGGGGCACGGACTGGGCGGATCCACAAAGGCTCCCAGGGGAAGGACATCGAGACACAAGCCTTTCGACAACTGGACTTCATAGGCTCAAAAGAAATAAAAGAATGTCTGCAAACTATTAAAAAAGATACAGGAAAAGTTTCAAGAAGTGATTAGAAACTGTAGGGATAAAAAAATATATAGAATAACCAAAATGCAAGTCTCAGTAAGTGGGTTTAAAAGGAGGTGACACAGGTCAGTGTGGTGTTGGCAAAAGAAGAGCAGAACAGAATAGAACAGAGAGCCCAGAATAGACCTGCATAAGTATGGTTGGCCGGTCCTCCACACGGGGCCAAGGGCAGCACAATGGGGAAAAAATAGCCTTTGCAACAAATGGTGCTGAACAACTGGACAACCACACACAAAGGGGAAAAAGGGGATCAAAGACAGACCTCACACCCTTTGTAAAAAAAAAAAGCAGCTCAGAGCGGATCACAGACCTCGATGTCAAATACAAACCTATAAAACGCCTGGAAAATAACAAGAGAGAAATCTGGGTGACCTTGGATTCCATGATGAGTTTTTAAATACATCAAAGGCACGAGCCATAAAAGGAAAAGTTGATAGGCTGGGCTTCATTAAAATTTAAAATTTCTGCTCTGCAAAAACAAAACAAGCCACAGAATGGGAGAGGCGATTTGCAAAATGACCCATCTGATAACGGGGCTGTGAGGCAAAACAGATGGGGATCTTGTAAAACTCAACGGTAAGGAGAAGAGCAGCCTGATTAAAAAGTGGGCCACAGATACCTCCGCAGGCGGGCAGACAGCCGAAGATGGTCACTTCCGGTCATCTGGGAAAGGTGATGAGCACAGAAGGCCGCCTCCGTGAGAAGGGTTTGGACCCAGAACAGCGACACTACACAGCCCGGAGAGGAAGGTGAGCAACAGGAACTCAGAGTGCGGCCGCTTTTCCTCGCGCGCTATCTGCACCCTTCAAGGGAGGTGACGACCTCCGTCCACGCTGAAGCCTGCGCGCAGATGTGCAGAACCACTCCATTCCTAATCGTCCAACTTGAAGCCGCCCCGACGTCCTCCAGTTGGTGGATGGGTGAGGAGGCGGTGCCACGAGAAGGAAAAGACAGCGGGAACCCTTAAGTATGTGTGACTGAGTGAAAGGAGCCCGTCCGAAAAGGGTGCGTGTAGTACAATTTCAATGCCAGGCTCTCTGGAAAAGACGAAGTGTGGACAATAAAATGATCGGCAAGAGTTAGGAGGAGGGAGGGACGAATGGGCAAAGCACGTTTAGGGCGGGGAAACTCTTCTGGGTGACAATATACTTGCGGGTCCGTGACAGTCTACATTTGTGAAGACCCGCGGGATGTACGACAGCAACAGTGACCCCTCCTGTAATCAGCAGGCTCCGGGTGCCACCCGTGTGTCAGCGTGGGCTCGCTGATTACAGCTCTGGTGGGGAGAAGGCGGGTTGATAACGGAGGAGGGGTCGGCGGTGGAGGACTCTCTGTACCTTCCGCTGAACGCTGCTAACCTAACGTTGCTCTAAAAAATATAACCCTGAAAAAACCGACAGCAGCTCGTGTCGGAAGCAAGGCATGGTGTCTGTTCTCGTGGCTCTGACTCCAGATAATGCTGGAAATTCCAGCCAGCAGACAAGGAAACAGACAAGGAAAGAGAATAAAAAGGGCTTTGGAGGTGACAGGAAGAAACGATACTTCCCCTATATGCACAGGACAGGATTCTCAACATAGAAAATCCCACGGAACTCACAAAAAGACTTCTAGAACCACACACAAAAATCAGTTGTATTTCTACTTGCCAGCAATGAACATGTGAACACTAAAAATAGAAAATACAGTACTATTTACAAATACTCCCCTCAAAATGAGACCTTGGAAGGCAAATCCAATGAAGTAGGTGCAGAATTTGTGTGCCAAAAACTACAAAGAATTACTGAAGAAAATCGACATCAGTGGGATAGACCTTGGTCACAGGCTGAAAGACCCAATACAGTACAGAGGCCAGTTCCTTCCAAACCTATATACAAGTTTAGCGTCATTCCTACAGGAATTCCTGGCACTCTTTTAAGACATAGACAAGATTATTCTTAATATGTATACAGAAAGGCAAATAATCTTGATAAAAAGAGTAAAGTGGGAGTAATCATTTACTCACTTTCCAGACTTGCGAGAGAGGCAGACAGATGAAGACTGAGATGTTGGTCAGCAGACAGGACGCAGACCAAGGAAACAACACAGGGGAAGCCGGAGACAGACCCACGCCAAGGTGCCCAACAGTTCATTTTTTTTTTTTTTTTTGTTACCCGGGATTGAACTCTGTATCTTGCACTTGTGAAGCAGGCAGCGCACCCGCTGAGCTAAAGCCCCAGGCCCCCCTCACACACCACCAGTTCTTGACAAAGGTGCAAAAGCGATTTGAAGAGAGGAAAAGGCCTTTCAATACTGGGGGCTGAAGCAATTAGACACTCACAGAGAAAAAAATTGGGCTCTGATCTAAGAGCTTAAGTTCTAAACCAAGGGAAACTTAGCTCATAGATTTAAATGCTAAATGTAAAATTATTTGCAAACCTTATATCCAGCCAAGATCCAGCAGCTGCAACGCAACACTCAAAACTTGAGGTACAGAGATGGAGTTAGGCATGAAGAGTTATTTTACTAAAGAGAATATACAAAGGACAGATCATTTGGATGAGGTCCAGCTTGTTTTTATTTCATCAGTTGCACTTTTGGCTTCATCTCTAAGAAAACATTTTTAATCCAAGGTCATGATTTACCCATGTTTGCTTCTGAGAGCTTTATAGCTCTTAGAGGATAAGTGTGGCAGCCCATCATTCAAGCACCTTCCAAACAGGACAATGTTGTGGGGCATTTTACATCTAATAATGTAAATCTAATCTAATCTAATGATGTAAATCTAATGATACTGTCTTATGGGTCTTAAATTATAGAGAATTAAAATATATGACACAATTGTAGAGGGGATAAAGTATAGTTCGTACTTGTCCAAGAGCTAACTATAACTCACTAACTATAGTCAGTATTATTCAAGGAGAAACAAAGTGCTGAATAATATTGGATCATATTGAGGACACATTTTATAATCTCCAAGTTACCATCAAAATAGTAGAAGAAGGTACATTTTCTAAATTAATACCAAGAAAACAGGTGCTTATTCTAAGGAAGGAAGGAGAAAACAAAAATTAAAAAGAAGGGCTGGGGATTTTAGCTCAGTGGTTCCACTGCCTGTCTTGCAAGTGCAAGGTCCTGAGTTAGATTCCAGGCACCAAAACAAAAAAAGAAACAAACAAAGAAAAATTGAAAAGAAAATATTTAAAAATCAATAGCTAGAAATTTTTTAAAAAAACAGCTAGGACAAAAAACACATAATTAGAATATTTCAAATATTTTAGAAACACATGAAATACAATATATGTGAATGAAATGCCCTAATTAAAAGATGAAGATTGTCAGATTTGATTT